GCAATACCGAACCATCCACGTGGAAACCCGTGATAGACGGTCCCCAGAAGGGAGCTAATCGGTAGGTGTGGGCGCATGCTAAAGACGTCCTCTGTAGGCCGCACTTGAATTTGGTCGATATGCTGAACCAGATCCGAAAGTGGAACGTCTCCTTCGAAGTCAAGGCTGTCAGTTTCCTAGAACGGGTCAATAAGCTGGCAGACGAGTACGCCATACCCCGTCATCACCTGGTGAGAGCACTGCCTGAATTGTTGCGTGGACAAGCAATCCTGTGGTACCGCAATAACTGTCATCAAATGCATATTTCGACCCGACTGTATATCAAGAAGGGCTAGAGAAAGAAATTAGTCGAAGAGTCCAGAAACCGCAAGAGAAGGGTCGCGTTTGAGCACTTGGAATGCCGACCAAGAGCTGAATTGTATCTATAGACACCTCCTTCCGTCATACCGCTAGTATATCCGATTCAATCGAAGGTCGTCACAGGTCGAACCGAATGCGCCGACAAGGTATGCCACCCAGAAATCATCCGTGGGAAGGCCGGTCATCTGCGTTTTGCCTACACGCAACCTCCACAACTATTCTGTTCCCGATGTGGCCGAGAAAGAGTGAAGTCCGTGGATTACCCTTGCAAGACGCCGTCGACAAACACCTAGGGAACTGTACAACCCAGAGCCCCGTCCAGTCTCCAAAAAGGGGTGTTCCCAACCTGTCATTCCTACCCGATCACGAACATCAAAAATGCCCATCCGTCCGTTATCTCCGTCAACCGCATTTCTTTCTGACATCCTCCAGGCATCAACCGAGGTATTATCGACCCAACCTAGCGCCGTTGTATATGCTGTGTGTTAAATAAATATTTTCCGACCACTAGTGGTTTTCTTCGAAATCACTAGTGTAAGTTACCGTCTTCGACCGATTATCCCAGCACCGAAAAGGGAAAAAACCCGTTACAGAAATTTGGCCCGAGCAGGGACTATAAAGACTATGATCTTTCGTCTCCGAAGGATCCTCAATCGACCGACGAGGGCGAGAATGAAGCAGCCGGCACGGTAGGCCTAGAAGTGACCGATACGAGGATGGGATGGATCTATACCCTGAAGAAGACGCAACGGTTTAGGCTGTCCACCGAAGGAAGTCTGGACCAGCTTCGCCGCAGAATGAAGACCTTTTTGAAGGAAGGACCCGCCGCTCCTCAGCCAGATGTCCCCCGAACAGGCAATCGATCCGCCCATAGGGAAACCTGTCGAAGGTATTCTCCGTAAAGCAACCGAACCATCCACGTGGAAACCCGTGATAGACGTTCCCAATGGAACCGAATGCGTCGACAAGGTATGCCACCCAGAAATCATCCCTGTGTTGGTATTGTGGGAAGGCCGGTCATCTGCGATTCGCCTGCACGCAGCCTCCACAACTATTCTCTTCCCGTTTGTACTGATGAGGCTGATACGTTTTTTCATTATTATTAAGATTATTCTGTTCCCGATGTGGCCGAAAAGGTAAGAAGTCCGTGGAGTGCTCTTACAAGACGCCGCGCCGTCGACAAACTCCCAGGGAACTGTATAACCCAGAGTCCCGTCCAGAGTCCGAAAACAGGGGCGTTCTCAACCCGTCATTCCTACCCGATCACAAACATCAAAAATGCCATCCGTCCGTTACTTCCGTCAACCGCATTACTTCCCGACATCCCCCAGGCACAACCGGGGGATTATCGATCCAACCTAGCGCCGTTGTATATGCTGTGTGTTAAATAAATATTTTCCTACCACTAGTTCGACCGACTACCCCAACACCCGAAAAGGGAGAAGACCCGTTACACGGTTTTGTTCCCGGAAAATTACTCCTTTTATTCCTATTATTTCTTCTATCTATGGACTATTCTTTCATTTTCTGTTTTTAAATGTTTTATTTCTTCCTTGTATTCTTCTTGGTTTTCCTTATGAATTCTTTTAGTTCATTTAGTACCTCAGTTATTTGGTTTATCTTCTCAGTATCTCCCATTGTGGTCTCTTCTGCCTTCTTTACTGCTTGCAAGGTCGCCTTTGTTGCTTTCTTGCTCTTTTTGTAGTTTTTGATTTTGGTGTCGTTCCCTCTTTTCCTCTTGCCTTCGTCTGTTAGTAATTCTTCTTTCTCTGTGTCTGTAGAGGAAGATTTCAACATCAGCTTTTCGTATTATCTTTCTATTTGCTGTCCTTTCTCTGGACTGTATTTTTGGTTGCTCAAGGACAAGCACAGATAGTTCTCGCCACGTCGATCGTTAGGAGCAGAAAAACTCCATCTGGTCCTTATCTTGTAAGCTTAATTATGGTTCATGTTTTTCCTTTAGTAGTGTAGGTAAGCGAAGAAAAATGTTGCTTCTCCGGTGGGAATAGAACCGCACGTTTAGTGCTTGCCGGGCGGGTGCCCGTACCACTAGACTACGAAGGAGCTTATCTTTCCTCGCTTACTACTACGTATTATTGTGCCGCCACAGTAGAAATTATATAAAGGCGAAATGCAGATGATCTTATATCAATTAAAGCTGAAGACTTATAGAGAGAATCTATATCTATAATCTCCGGAAACCGCTTCATGGGACACCAATGGAAGAAAAGACTTGATGAAATATTTAGAAACATGAGATGCCATCATTAAACGCAGATCCTTGTGTAGATTTATCTACGTGAGGGGCAGAAATCTTGATAATATTAGTATCTGTAGATGATAAGTATTTCAATTGCGTATCGTAAAGAGGAAGATTTAAACTCTGTCAAGAGAGAGTTTATCAAAGACTGCGAATTAAAGGATCTGGGAAAGGTACACTATTGTTTAGGAATCGAAATTCGTAGGAATCGTAATCAACCTGCGCTTACTGTAAATAGAATAATAGACACATTTTGTTTATTATTTTCAACTTTTTTTGAATCTCTGTAGATTAATAGTTGCTATATTTTGCCGTTTTTTTCTTAATATACATAGCCATCTTTTCACGATAAGACACTTAAAACATGGTTAATATGGTACATTTTTGCAAACAAATATGGATTTTGCTATTATGGGGCGGAGCCTAATTGCAAAATCGATATTTCCTTACATACATTTTCCATTTTAAACATGTTTTAAGTGTCATGTTGTAAAAAAAGTCTACACATGTTCAAAGAAAAAGGCAAAATATATAATATTTATTTTATTCGTCGTGAACCAAGAGGGCGGAGCTTAACTGCAAAATACTTATTTCTTTGCAACACATTTAAAAACATGCTTTTGAGTATCATGTTTTTTCAAATTCTTAAATTACTTGGTTTCTTGAATTTCTTGGAATTTTTAAAATTCCTGAATTTTTTGGATATATTTGGATTCTTGGAATTCCTGACATTCTTGAATTTCTTGTGATTCTTGAGGTTTTTATGATTTTAGTATTTTTGTAATTCTTGAGAAATTTTTATTTTTGGATTTATGTGTTTGAATTCTCGAAATTCTTGGAATTTTTGGGATTGACAGGGATTCTTGACATTCTCAAATTTCTGGAATTTTTGTCATTCTAGGAAATCTCAGATTTCTTGAACCTTTCATATCCTCTGCACCTTTTTACATCTTTTTATTTCTTCTATTTCTAGAATTTTTTGGATTTCTTAGGTTCCTTGGGCTTCTTGTGTTTCTTGAGATTCTGCGATTTCCTAGGTTTCTTGGATTTCTTTGGCACATTTTGTTAATTATTTTCAACTTTTCTTGAATTTCTGTAGGTTAATAGTTGCTAAAGCCTAAATACCTATATTTTACCGTTTTTTTTCTTAATATACGTAGCCATCTTTTCACAATAAGACAATTAAAACATGGTTAAAATTGTACATTTTTGGAAGGAAATATGGATTTTACAATTGTGGGGCGGAGCCTAATTGCGAAATCGATATTTCCTTATACAAATTTTCCATTTCAAACATGTTTTAAGTGTCATGTTGTAAAAAAAGTCTACACATGTTCAAAGAAAAAGGCAAAATATAATAGTTCTTGTAACTACGATTAGCGCTTTTTTTACAGCCTTATTTCTATCAGTTGCCACTCTCACTCTAAGGAACATATACCTAAACCCCGCCCACCCGCCCGCCTCCATTTCGGTGATCAATTTTATCTGCACCGAATGAAAAGTGGAACTTATACAGAAATAAAATTAGTCGCTAAAATGAGAAGAGAGAGGGTGGGCGGGGCTAGTACTTGTTAAGATAAGACTGACTTTGGCAAGTCACATACCTTCAAAAAAACAGAGGGTGGGTGGGTGGGGCTAGTACTTGCAACGGTAATACTGAACAATATTAAGGGTAGTAACTGGAATGAAATGGGTGAGGGTGGGCGGGGCTATTGGAAGCTTAAAAAAGATTCTCTAGAAAAGGTTAAATTTAGCCCCGCCCACCCGCCCGTTCTCTCATTTATTTTTCTTTTGAAATAAGAAATAAATCCTGTAACAATAATACAACAAAAAAAGTTAGGATTAGAAATTTAGAGATTTTGAAAAAGTTGTCTGAAAATCCGCAAAAAATTCTGGGACGTAGATTTCGACGTGCTTATTCGAAAAATATAGGGTCTTTGTGGTCTCGGATCAAGATTTTCGATTCTTTCTCCTTTTGTTCTTTTTTTCGCTCCTCTCTTATCCACTTCTCTCGTGCCCGTTCTGCTCTTTCCCCTTTTTACTTCCCGAGCGTAAGCAACGGAAGTATTGTAATCGAGTCCGTCGGTCGACTCGCTACTTTTACGTTTTCTCGATCTTTCATGACCCCTAGAACACGAAGAAGTAGGTCTCCCATTTCCGTCTGTCTGTCCGTCTGGAGATTTTTGGAGGAAATCGACGTTAAAACACACAAAACGGTGCGGACATCCTTACGAAAGGATTGCCAAAAGAAAAACATCAGAGCTTTTCGAAACTGTTGGGCATTACTCATCATTGTATTCAGTCGGCGACTAGTAATTATGTTAAAAACGCCACTACGCTCTAGTACCAGCACTAAAACAAGTCATGCACATAAACTTACTAATTTCACCGTGTTCCCAGCCTTCTTGAGAGCGTCGACGGCGGCGGCGTGCGGGACGTCGACGACCGAGACATCGTTGACCGACAATATCGAGTCGTTCACCCGGAGTCGGCCGTCCGTCGAGGCCGCTCCTCCAGGTATAAGTTTGGTGATGTAAATGGCGGTGTCGTCGCCAATATGGGGGTTATCCGTGCCGCCGGCGATGCTGAAGCCCAAGCCGGCACCGCCTCGCTCCAAAATGATTTCCTCGTATTCCCACTCATCGTCTCCGTTTACCTGCAACAAGCACGAAAAAGCTCTATAACCGTTAAAAAGCACAGTAATGCCGCCAAACATACGGCATATTCTTTATGGGATGATTTCCACTCGCATCAATCTCAATTAGAAAATATCAAATTTTATGTGTGCGCGGGCATGATGAGGGTTTTATGGGCCGGATCGGAGGAAAATTTTAAAGTCGGTGGATATGTGGAGCTTACGGGGGTTCGACTTGGCCATTTCGGTAATTGGTTCGGAAGTATTGGGGGTGATGCTATTTTAGTAAAATCCGGCGGATTTTATCTGGTTTCGAATTGTTAAACATCATATTTCTATGATTAATTCAGAAAAATTGCTTTCTGTAAAGCTTTTTTTCCTGCTTTTGTACGAACATTTCGTTTCCAATTAAGCTCCTCAATATGAAAAATCTGAGTTATTCTTTTATTCTTTTAAGCCATTTGCCTAGACGTGTTTAATTTAAATATTTATCGTTCTGGTTGAAAAATTTGCATAGAAATGAGCATCTTCAAAATGGATTATCGACTAAGCTCCGCGGAAATAACGATACAAAATAGAAACGCCGACGACTAGTTTTGTTTAATAAATTTGAAACGACCGTAATGTGACTTAGACAAATGTCAAAATGAGTGGTATAATTGTGGTAGTTTGTAAGCCAGAAACGGAGGAAAAAGCAACGTAAATAATGTTATGGTAGAAAATACTTTCATCGCGTTTTCTCACAAAATACAATAAATAAGTTTAACAGCTCCGCAAACAAAAAACAAACAAGTATACCCTGGCACCAGTAGCTTACACGAAAAATTGCCACCAAAATGTCATTCACATCGAAACTTCCCTTGAATACTGCGGTCTTTTTTTTCAGTTTGATATCGCACATCTAACTACAAAATTACTAAAAAAATGCTCTAAGTTTATTATTTGGGCAGAATTTCTCTCGTAGAAATTAGTATTAGTACAATCAGTTTTATATTTTATTTTGTTCCATGTTCACCGACTCCTTAAAATACTCTTAAGTTCTAAAGTCAATAAAATCACAAAAGTAAAATACGTTTATTTAGTTACCTATGTCAATTGCAAAAAAAAAAAAATAATGCGGATTCATAAACTACAAGTACATGAGTATATGATTCCAAAATTCAAATGGTATTTACCACGCAAAACATTGAGGTGATTTCATCAAATTGATGGGGGGGATTATTAAACAAATTTTAATTGGCGTTATACCGTCAACAATCATTAAAATTTTGACTACAATCACTCCGGTAGTTTCGGGGATTATCTATTATAAAAATCGACACCGACAGACGACAAGTAAACAGACACATGGAAATGGAAGACCTACTTTTTCATACTCTACGATTCATGAAAACATGAAAGTATTCGTTGGCTAGATGGCGATTATTATTATTGTTATTAAATAAATTCGGAACAAAATAGAAGGTTACAACAAATAATAAAATTTAAATACATATTTGTAATTTATCATAAACACCAAAAAATCAAAGTATAGTTAGTTATACCATGGGGGTTCTAGGCCACTTTCTCGCGGGAAAATTTATATTCGTGCACAATCAAGTGGGCCAGAACACGAACATGCACAGAATTAAGTGAGACACAACTTGCACCTGCACATGGATTCAAATTTTCACGCCAAAAGTGGTCTAGAAGCCCCATCATATCACTACTACGAGCAGTAGTTCTAATCAGTAGTAGTTGTGGTCCTCAAAATTTTCTGGGATATCACTTCGACGCGCTGATTCCAAAAATATAGTGGTTTTATAGTCACGGTGCAAGATTTTAGAAATATTCGGTTTGAAATGGATTTTTTTTTAAAGAACTGTAATATTTCAGTGGGGCGATTCCGGAAAAGTTTAATTATTTTTGTCAATCCAGTTTTTTCGGAGTACCGTGATATATTTTTTTATCTAGATCGTCGAAATTAATCCCTCAGATTTTTTTGGATTTTTCTGCAGTTTTGCGAAACAGCTCAATCTTTTAATACCTTTCCACAAGCACCATCGACAATTACCAAAAAAACTATCTGTTGTTAACTTTGACTTGTAGCCGTTCTTTACCGATTTATTTTTTCGAAATCCAGTCACTTTTTCAGAATTGCCTAAACCAAAAATGGTAGTTTTTAAGATATATTGAAAATTTGAATTCGGAGACGATTTATCTGAAAAATCAGTCGTCGTATACGCTTTAGATTATTTTTTTCTGATGAACACAAACACTTTTTTTTCATAATTTTTTTCCATCCAGTTTTTCCATAGCACTGGATAAGAAAAATACCACGATTAAGGCACAGTTTTAAAATTTGTTTCTCCAATTTTGTTCCGGAACCATGAACATGATATAATTTTACATTTACCTCCTTGAAATTGATCGTCCAAATTTTTTTTGGGTTTTTCTGAATTTTGCAAAAATATCAATGTTTTAATTGCTTCAATTTTTGCTCCGAAACCATCAACCTGATATATTTTTTATCTAGATCGTTGAAATTTGTCCCTAGGAATTTTTTTGATTTTTCTACAGTTTTGCGAAACAGTTCAAGCTTTTAATTCGCTATTTTTTAAAACAGTCGTCGTATTGGCTTTAGATTACTTTTTTCTGATGGACCTACCAAGGGAAGACTATGTATATTAAGAAAGAAAAAAATGCAAAATACAAACCCCGCCCACCCACCCTATCTCATTTGTAACGATTTTTCTTTGTTCATCGTGAGCGACATGGGGTGGAGCTTAATTAGAAAATCCGTATTTTTCTACAAAAATTACCATGTTAAACATCTTTTGTTATTGGCGGGGTTTAAATTTTTGTTTCAGAAACATCGATTTTCCAATTAAGCTCTGCCCCTCGGTCTGACAACGAATTAAAAATTTAATACATTTGAGACTCGGGTGGGTGGGCGGGGCTTAATTTTTGATTTTTTTTTTCTTGACTTATATCTTATATAGTTTTCTTTCAACAACATGATAAGTACTTAGAAACATATTTTAGATGGCAGTTTCTTGTAGAAAAATAAGGATTTTGCAATTAAGCTCCGCCTCTCGGTTCACGACGAATAAAAACAGTTGTCACAATTAAAAAAGGGGCGAGTGGGCGGGGTTTTGTATTATTATTTCTTTTTGTTAATATGTGTACATAGTTTTCTTTTCACAACAATAAATGCCAAACATGTTTAAAAGGGTAAATTTGTAGAGAAGTGTGAGATAACATTTACCACTTTCAACATGTTTTGGGTTTTTTGTTGTGAAGGGAAGACTATGTATATTAAGAAAAAAAAATGAAAAATACAAAGCCCGCCCACCCACCCTATCTCATTTGTAACGAAATTTCTTTGTTCATCGTGAACCAAGTCGGGCGGAGCTTAATTGCAAAATCCGTATTTTTCTACAAAAATTACCATCTGAAACATCTTTTGTTGTTGTCCAGCCTCCTTTTTCTCAAAATGATCTATTTTGAACAATATGATAACACTTAAAACATATTTTGGTGAAAAAATCATCACAACTGAGATCAGGGTGGGTGGGTGGGGCTTTTTTTTCTAAATATGTATATAAAAGTTTCTTTCAACACCATACTTAAAAATTTGTTTTAGACGATAAGTTCTTGTAGAGAAATAAGGATTTTATGATTAAACTCCGCCCCCGGGCTCATCATTACAACTGAGATGGCGGTGGGTAGGCGGGGTTTAACTTTTGCCTTTTTTCTAGATATTTGTAATGATCTTTTCATGCCAAGATTTTTAAAACTTTTAAAATGGTAAATTTTTGTTTCAGGAAACATCATTTTTACAATTAAGCTCTGCCCCTCGGTCTGACAACGAATTAAAAATTCATCACATTTGAGATTGGGGTGGGTGGGCGGGGTTTAATTTTTACTTCTTTTTTCTTGACATATATCGTTTTCTTTCAACAACATGATACTTAAAAACATGTTTTACACGGTAGTTTCTTGTAGAGAAATAAGGATTTTGCAATTAGGCTCCGCCTCTCGGTTCACGACGAATAAAAACAGTTGTCACAATTGAAAAAGGGGTGGGTGGGCCGGGTTTTGTATTATTTTTTCTTTTTTTTTAATATGTGTACATAGTTTTCTTTTCACAACAATAAATTCCAAACATGTTTAAAAGGTAAATTTGTAGAAAAGTGTGTGGTATAAAATTTACCGTTCAACATGTTTTCAGTTTTTTGTTATGAAGGGAAGACTTTGTATATTAAGAAAAAAAAATGAAAAATACAAACCCCGCCCACCCACCCTATCTCGCTTGTAACGATATTTTTTTGTTCGTCGTGAGCCAAGTGGGGCGGAGCTTAATTGCAAAATCCGTATTTTTCTACAAAAACTACCATCTGAAACATCTTTTGTTATTGTTGACATAGTAGGGGAGAGAGGGTTACCCAGTCAATTTCTCAAAATCATCTATTTTGAACAATACGACAATACTTAAAACCTATTTTGGTGAATCACAACTGAGATCAGGGTGGGTGGGTGGGTTTTTCTTTTCTAAATATGTATATAAAAGTTTCTCTCAACACCATACTTACAAACGTGTTTTAGGCGATAAGTTCTTGTAGAGAAATAAGGATTTTATGATTAAACTCCGCCCCCGGGCTCATATGTACAACGGTGGGTAGGCGGGGTTTAAGTTTTGCCTTTTTTCTAAATATATGTAATGATCTTTTCACGCCGAAGTGTTTGAAACATTTAAAATGGTCAATTTTTGTTTCAGGAAGCATCGATTTTACAATTAAGCTCTGCCCCTCGGTGTGACAACGAATTAAAAAATCAATACATTTAAGACTTGGGTGGGTGGGCGGGGCTTAATTTTTGACTTTTTTTTCTTGACTTTTATAGTTTTCTTTCAACGACATAATACTTAAAAACATGTTTCACATGGTAGTTTCTTGTACAGAAATAAGGATTTGCAATTAAGCTCCGCCTCTCGGTTCACGACGAATAAAAACAATTGTCACAATTGAAAAAGGGGTGGG